CGAAGCAGGCTCTAGGCTCCGAGCTGTCAGCACAGAGCCCCACGTAGGGCTCTAACTCACGAACTGAGAGATCATGACTGAGCTGAAGTCACCTTAAGCAACTGAGCTACCCAGGTGCCCCTGGCATTAATATTTTTTAAAAAGCTCTTCAGGGAATTAAAATGTGCAGGCAAGATTGAGAACCACAGAGACCTAATGCAGGAGGAAGGCGATCTGGTGTGAGTTTGTTAGAAGAGAATACAGGGCAGCCTTGAGTGTGGGGATGGCACTGTACTAAATTACGTCCTGGGAGGTGGGTATCCCCACCTTTTAGAGGTAAAGAAACTGGGATTCAGAGAACGACTGGCCCAGGTAGAACCTGGATTTGCTGCAGGTTGGTGGGTCTAGAGTTCAAATGAGGAAGGACCAAGAAAGGGAGGCCCGAACGGGGTGGGTCATGCCCTCTCGGATCCCCGTCTCTTGACGGGTGAGCTGCACGCATCCTGCCTCCCTCATAAGACTGCATGTTTCTCTCTCAGATTGGGAATTGAGTCTCCAGAGACACACAGAGGAAGACAGCCCTGGAGGGCACATGGCTGCTCTCTCAAGCCTGCCCCACGCCCCTCCTCCTCCATCCACTCCCCTGGAGTACCCTAGAACTTACCCTCCTTCCCTCCCATAATTCCCTCCCATAATCACCTCCCATAACCCCACTATTAAAGGGTTACGCCCAGCACAGGTGGACCCTCCAGGACACCACTCTCTCGTCCATTCGGATTGTCCAGGGCCAGGCTAGTTATTAAATAGATTTTTTGTCACCCCTAAAGTGATGTGACCAATTTATACAGGTTTTTTGCCCCGCCTGTGGATGGAAACTTAGGGAGTCTCAACCTGCAGGAGCTTTCTCCTTTGCCTTCCACAGGAGTGCGGCCAGGTGACACTGAGATGGCAACATCAGGCCCAGCTTGAGTGGTGCCCTCCCTGAACGTACGTTTCTGCCTGTGCTACCAAAGGCGTGGTCCTCAGTAAGGAATTAGGTTGTGAACAGTTCTAGAGAAAGCGACCTGTGTTTGTCACAGTCTGAGTTAGGTGGCTCGGTGGGCTGACGGCACCGTGTTCAGTGCCTGGGGTCCACAGGCGGCGAGCCCTGCGTTGGCTCCATTCTGACTTCACCTTCAAGCTTGCCATTCAGCCCCACTGTCCCAAGACGGGTTTTTATTTCCAAATATTCCAAATATAGGTTAGAACTCTGGTTTCCCCTACTGGGAACACGTGCCTGCACCTGTCCCCTGGCCCGTTTCCTCAGCTGTGGAATTAGAACAATGAGGACGACGTTCACCTCCCAGGAGCGTCTCCCCGTGGAGGGTGCTGCACAAATGTCAGCTTTCCCATTGCTGGCGGTGTGACCATGGGCAATTCTTTACCTTTCTGTGCCTGCTTTTTTTTTTTTTTTAATGTTTATTCATTTTTGAGAGAGAGACACACAGTGAGAGTGGGGGAGGCACAGAGAGAGGGAGACACAGGGTCCAAAGCAGGCTCCAGGCTCTGAGCTGTCAGCACAGAACCTGATGTAGGGCTCGAACCCACAAACATCATGACCCGAGCCAAAGTCGGGCGCACAACTGACTGAGCCAGCCAGGTGCCCCTCTGTGCCTGCTTTCTTATGTTTAAATGGGAATAATAATACTCCCTGCCCATGAAGTACCTGGAACAAGTGTTGAGAGCTGGCTGTTTTTACTGGCTGTTGTAATTTAGTGTCATTGAATGTTCTGGACCCCAGCTGACGAAGTACCCTCCCCTGTAGGCCCATCTGTCACAAGTCCTGTGCCTCAGGGCCTCCTCTGGGCCAGTGTGGCAAACATTAGAGCCTGGCATTGGATAGGCCTGAATTGAGATCCCAAGTGAGCTGTGTATCTTTGGCAAATTCCTTCCTCCGTCTGGAGCCTTGGTTTCCTTATCTGGAAGGTAGGATGACAACAGAAACCCCCCCCCCCCCCACCAGATGCATGAGGCAGGCAGAGCACACAGGTGCAAACCTAAAGGAATCATGTGCCCAGAGAAGAGAAGTAGCCATCTAGGGATGAGGCCACAGGGTCTCCCAGGCTGGCAGGTTACAGGCCTCAGGCTGAGCCGAATGCAGCCCTGCTGGCCAGAGGACCAAGACGCCAGATCGTGAAGCTGGGCATCACGGGTAGGAGGGGCCTGAGCACCCCCATCTCATGCTGGGCATCCTGAGACGCCCGTGTGTGCCCAGTGCGCACCAGAGGGCGGGCTGTCCCTCAGAGCCCAGCTTCTGCCCTTGGAGAATGTGCCCACCACTGTGGCTCAATAGTCCTCATTCCACACCCCAGACAGAAGACTGTGAGACCACCTTTATTAGGCCAAGAGTGGCCTCGTGTACAAATTTACAGAGTTCCTCCCTGTACCGGGACCCCCAGCATCGCCAGGGCCCTGGAACCAGCACCATCTCTGGACCTCTGAGTCTGTGAGGATGGCAACACCAGCCATGTGGCATACTGGCTGGGGCGTGGATGCTGGGCAGGGAGCAAGGAGTGAGCTTGGCCTTGGGCCTTCCAAGTGGAAGGGCGTGACACCCACCAGGAGAAGATCAGCCCACTCACGGTCTTCCCCAGTGGCCTCTGCTGCCCGGGTTCCTGCTCAGAGTGCAGAGGCCAGCAGGATGCTCCCGTCTACCCGGGAACCACGGTGTCCTGTCCCAACCTGGACATCTACCCAGGGAGGGGAAGCTGCCGTGTTCTCATCCTTGGGATGGAGGAAAGAACAAAAACGGGGGTGGGGGTCTCTCCAGAGCCCCATCATCTGGAATCCACTGTTGTATCTCCCACATGCCCTTCCCGAGTGAGAAAACCCACTCCCATCCCACCCAAGGTCTCCCAACAGGAAACAGCCTCCCCCAGGGAGGGTCCTGCAGCGAGACTGACCCCAAATACACTCTAGGGCCAGGGCAGATGTATATAAATATATAGGCTGTGTGTATATATCGTATAAATGTATCTATATATGTATATATGTACATGCACACTTAGGAGGGCAGGCCAGCAGCTGTGCCTCACGATAGGGAGTTTCTCAGCCAGGTCCAGGACGAGCCTGGCTCCTCCTCAGAGGTCTGGCCACCTTGAAAAGCCTCTGGCTAGATGTCGCAGGAAGGCTGAGAGCCATCACTTGAAGTTGAGAGTCCAGGTGTTAGGGATGTACAGGGACTGGGTCTGGCGGGTGCGGCGAGGCGTGGTGTTGAGGGCATCCACACTCTTGCGGCTGGAGCGCACTACGTCTGCCACGAAGCTGGTGCAGTCACTGCAGACGTCCTTGAGGACAGAGCCGTGGGTGTAGATGTGCGGGAATGCCTCCTCCACACTCGGCCACTGGGGCCCCTGCAGGGATCTGGAGCAGGACGGAGCCATCAGGGAAGTCTCCCTCTGGTTCCTTTCTCCATGTCCACAGCCTACCGCCCCCCCCCCAACACGCATCCTTCCCACCCACCCCCCGCCCCCAGCAAAAGCTGTTCCTCAAGAGGATCTGACCACCCGGTTCAGTTTCCAGCTCACACTACTTAGCCCCCAGAGCTCTCTGAGAGATCCCTTTCTGGACAAGTGCCTTGGATTTCTGTGTCCTGGCAGTGTCCCAGCAAACCACCCCACCCACCCCAGCTCCTGTATTACTCTCGATGCCTGATCACCACAGTGACCTCAGCAAAGGGCAAAGGAACGCACTGGAAGGCATCTCTTCTCTGGGTCGGCGTCGTTTTGGTAGCTGACACCCTCCGAGGACTCTCAAAGCCCAGCGTGTAGACAGGAATGTGTGCAAACTTCTTAGAAGGCATCTTCATCTACAACAGAGGGAGATGTGGACAAGGCTACCCCAACAGGGACGGCCGGGGGCACAAGCGCGCACGCGGGCGCGCACGCGCGCACACACACGAACAGCTGCCTGCTCTGGGCCTGTGGGGCGGCAGGGGAGTGTCTGCAGGGTGCCGTTGTGACCGTGTGTGCTCTCTGGATGCCCACCCCATGCCGCCCACCTGAAGGCATGTGTCTCCTCACTCGTTCCCCACACCCAACCACACGCTGCTCATCCAGACGGGCGTACCCAGAGGGCCCGCCAGCATGCCCTGCATGCAGTAGTTACTTGGTGAGTTGGAGGTTGCTCAGTGCTGAAACCGCAAAACGCAAAGGGTTTGAAAACAGTGGTGGTAAAACCCTTTTCCAGCAGGCCATGGTTGCTAGGCGGAGGTGTGGTGGGGTGACAGAGTTCTAGGTGTGATTACCCTTCTACGTTTGCACACCTGCATGTACGCAGACGTGCCCAGACTGCTACAAAGAACCTTTCCGGAAACACTCAGGGGAGATGTAGCGTCAGAAGGTAAGAGTCCAGGGGCACCTCGGTGGCTCAGTCAGTTAAGCATCCGACTTTGGCTCAGGTCCTGATTTCTCGGTTCATGAGCTCAAGCCCCATGTCAGGCTCTGTGCTGACGGCTCAGAACCTGGAGCCTCCTTCAGATTCTGTGTCTCCCTCTCTCTCTGCCCCTCCCCTGCTTGCTCTGTCTCTCTCAAAAATAAATAAACATTAAACTTTTTAAAAATAAAAGAAGGTAGGAGTCTTAGAGGGAAAATGAAGGGTTTTTCTTGGCAGTAGCCTGCTAACATGGAACGTTAAAAAAAAAAAAAAAAAAAACACCTACAAGGGTCTTTAAAAACTACAGTCTTGGAAACTGTAGGGATGGGTCTTGTGTGGAGAAAGGAGACAGATGAAGTGACTCGTGCACGTCTGACCGGCCAACAGGAGACAGCAGAGCCTCTGTCCCCCGGCTCTGCCCTCCTGGACAAGCCAAGTCAACCACAGGACACCTCAGATACCTGGGGCCTCGCTCAGACCCCAGACGATCCTCACCTTTATGCTGCAGGAAGTGCAGACAGCCCTGGAGGGAAAGAAGAGGGACGCGGGGTCAGCAGCGAAGAAGCCACAGAGAGACCATTCCCACCCGGCGAACTGCCCACCCTTCTGCTAGAGACCAGTTACCTCAGTGCTTTACTTGTTTTCCCCCCCAAATCTTTTCTTTTCTGCCCCTCACAGCTGGCTTTTTCTCTGAAACATTTCGGCCTGGAGCTTTCTCACGCCCTCTGCACTTGCATGTGCCTGACGCCTCCTGCCACAGAGGCGCCATCTGAGCCAGAGGCGCCCCAGCAGCTCAGTCTTAAGCAGTGATTAACATCTTTTGAATCCCCACTGCTGACTTAAAACACAAATACCTTCCTGTACAAATTCAGACACTAGAGAGAGCCGTGACTACAAATCGTAAAGCCCACCCCCAGTGGCAGACCCTGGTGACGGGTTTTCCCTTCTCTAGATCTAAGTATGACGGACAAAGATACACGCTTAAAACAAAAATAAATGAACTGGGGTGTTATGCATACTATTCTATAAAGATACATCTGGGGCTCTTTTCTGCATTAGGACAGATGGTCCAAGTTCATTTAAAAAAATTTTTTTAACGTTTTTATTTATTTTGGAGACAGAGAGAGACAGA